TGGAAAATTCCACTCTGGTGATGTAAAATGTGACGTGTAACCTTGTTGCAGTATAAAAGCCTGGAGCCTGCATTGCTCTGGGTTCAGTCTGTTTAAAGCGTGCTTCGCTGACTGAACCGGCGCCAATAAAGTTCTTCTCCTCCTGTTGATCTGGTGGTCTGTGCTTGGGCTTAGGCCCCTTTCTCCATGCTACAATATGTCCCCTCGAAGGGGAGAGTCCTGTGAATGTGGGGGTATATGATATGTGGTGGTCCAGACCTTATTTTGGGGTTCGGAGCTTTCCAACTCACTCTCCTTAGTGTTTCTGAATGACTAAATGAATAAGTAACGAATAAGGAATGAATAAGGAAGTGCGAATAAGGAACCAACTTCAGCCTCCTGAGGAAGCCTGAGTAAGACCTGGCTGGAATTAAGCCCTTCTTCTTTGCGGATCTTTCCACCGAAGGAGAGAAGAAGAATTGGTTCTTTATACCCCGCTTTTCTCTACCTCAAGGAGTAGAACGGCTTACAATCACCTTCCCTTCCTCTCCCCACAACAGGCCCCTTGTGAAGCAGGCGGGGCTGAAAGAGTCCTGAGTAAACTGGCACTGGCCCAAGGTCATCCAGCAGGCTTAATGCAGAGGAGGAGTGGGGAATCAAACATGGTTCTCCAGATTAGAGTCCGCCGCTTATCACCACCACACCACACTGGCCCTCACTGCCTCCTAAAACTTAACACAACTTCTCTGCAGTATTTTTATTAAGTTTGTTCTAGAGGTGGGGTGGGTGGGAGGCATAGCTAATTAAAAACACACACACATTCATGCCTTAGTTTGTAATTCTACAAATGACTGTCAAATTCCAAAATCTTATTCAAAATGACACTTCACTAGAGAGGCCCCTAAGAATCTGAATTTTCACCAGCAAAATCAAACTTAGGAGAATCTGCATGTGAATTTTCATCCGAGAGCCAATCTGATGTAGTGGTTAAGAGTGCAGACTCTAATCTGGGAGAACCGGGTTTGATTCCCCACTCCTCCACATGAAGCTGTTGGTGTGACCTTGGTTCAGTCACAAGTTCTCTCAAGAGCAGTCCTCGAAAGAGCTCTCTTAGCCCCACCTACCTCACAGGGTCTCTGTTGTGGGGAGGGGAAGGGAAAGGAGACTGTAAGCCACTCTGAGACTCCAAGTGAAGGGCAGGGTATAAATCCAGTCTCTTCTTCTCCTTCTTCCTGGATTCCTCCCAGCTCTGTTTCATTTCCCCTCCTAAAGACCACTGAGCACTAGCTGCTTTGTGGCTGGCAGGGCAAATGGTTGTCCTTCCTTACCTGGGGCTGAGGTTTGGGGGTCCATAGTTCACGAGGGACGGAATGAGGAGTTTGTCAGGTTTCCGACCACCGCTGCTCTCGCTATCAGAGAGGCGTTCCTCCCGGCGGCACCGTGGGGAGGGGCTGCGGCCCTGGCTGTAGCGGGCCGGGGACCGACAAGTCCGCCGCAAGGCTGAGAACTGGCGCAGGTCGTCCCCCAGCAGGCTGCTGAGGGAGCCCCGCCTCACCGGGCTATTGAGGTTGGGTAGCAGGAGTTTACGGCGAGTGATGGTGGCTGGTGAGGGCTGGAAGAAGTCCTCCGGATCCTCACTGTACTCCTGGATGGATGGCAGGGGCTTCTCAGGGGCAGCACCACTTTCAGGATGAGGCTGGCAAAGGAGAAAGAAAAGGAAGAGGGTTCAAGGGGAAGGTGAGCATGTTAAAATCGCCCCTCAGCTTCCCCTGTACTGTTTATTTATTTATTCAACTTTTATCCTGCCCTCCCTACCGCAGGCAGGCTCAGGGCAGCTTACATTAAGGATTAAAAATATAAAACACAAACATACCAAGTCATAGCTCACAATAAATAGAATAATAATAAAGTGCTGGTAGCAATAACCATGATAGATGTTCCAAAAAAATGGCCCCGGGTCGGCATCCGGCATAGTAAGTATTATTCAGTTCAGTTAGTATTGTTGATGTTGTTGATGTTATTGGTGTTCTTCATGGCGGCTCCTAGTCGAAGGCCTGGTGGAAGAGCTCCATCTTACAGGCCCTGCAGAACTGTAAAAGGTCCCGCAGGGCCCTGATGTCCTCCGGGAGCTCATTCCACCAGTGTGGAGCCGCCACTGAGAAGGCCCTGGCCCTGGTATTCATGTCAACACTGGAAAACTGTTGATGCAGAGGAAAAGCACTGAGTTGGATCCAACCAGTTTGTCTGCTGGTGAGTAAGGAAGGAGCCACCAAAAAGGCCATGCTGCTGATCACGGCGACCTGCATGGACAAAAGTCATGCCAGATTGGGGCTGTAGAAGAACTGGGGAAGACTGAGTGAAAAAAGCTGGCTGGTTTGTACCCATTGCCACTGTGACTGGCCTGGATCCAACCTTTCCAAAACAGACGTGGATCTTCCTCCTTTATCCTTAATCCCACAGCCTGGTGTTCCTCACCAAAAGCTGCTACTGAAGGTCAAGGGTAGCTCTTGAACAGAATACCATGTGATCTGGGGAAAGGCAGTCCTGTAGGAAGAAAGGAGGACTGGACAAACTCCCCCCCCCCCGCTCTTATGCAAGCACAGGAAATGCAGGGAGCTTGGATTCTGCTTGCACAAGAGGAAAGGAACAACTTCTTCCCGCAGCCTCCAGTGCCACAGTGGCTGCTTTCCGGGAAGGTCCCCTGGTCTTTGGTAACAGCTTTTCAAGAGCTCGCTGGGGGCCAGAGTCAGATGGGGAGTTGGTTGGCTTCCATTAACTCCTCCTGACTGCAGAAGACCGGATCCCACCCATTATTATTCAGCCCTTTTATCCCACTTCCTCCGACCGACCGCCAGTTGTGTTTGGAATGTAAACCATCCTCTTGGCCAACGTAGCTGCATTAGAAACCAACAGACCTAAGAACCGCTTCTAAGATTCATACGTCCTCTTCTACTTCATGCCTCCCTTTATTACTAATCAATGCTTTTATACAGCATCTTTAAATGTACAAAATTCAGCATCGTTGCAAACAGAGCCATTCTTTACAGAGCGAGGGAACTGAGACTGGGCTAAGAAATCAGGGTGATGCTGAGCATTCATTCCTAAATAATCACATCAGCAACAAAAAAGAAGAATGCCAAGAATTATGTCATGCTGAACATCTCATAATTAATGCTCTGAGGAGGACAGAGCAGTCATGGATCAAGACCTGAGCTGCAATCAAATTCTACGATAAAACAGTAGCAACATTTGAAATTTTGAAATCTGATTCCTCCCCCCCCCCAATTTCAAACACTGGTTAAATTTGGCTTTTGAGATATGTCTTTGGATGCATCATGTCTTAAGTTTTAAAAAAGTATTTCTCAAAGTGATGCATGAATTAAATTCTCATATATATATATGGGAGAGCTAAGTACATATATTGTTGAAGTCAGGAGTTCAGCTTCAGTTTAACTATGGCCCTTAAACATTAAGCCTAATTTAAAGCAACAATAATAAACCTCGACTAGCTAAATCCCCTGGAACTTTAAATCTTTATTTAGAGATTTTATACGCTGCCTCTCAGGAGACTCTCAGGAGGCAAATCATCAAAGTAAAAACGACACAACAAAATCCTGTAACCAACAAGATAAGGAATTATCTATAGTAAGACAAGCCTGGGACACAAAAATGGTATGACAAGATTTCAGGAGCTGAAAAACTATATCTATAGTCCTCGGTCTAGAAGCAGATTGTGAGAACAATTTTAAAAGATGGAAGCTGTATGTTAAAAAGCCTGAGTTTAAGAAAATGGTTTTGGATTGCTAGCTCTGGATTGGGAAATTCCTGGAGATTTGTGGGTAGAAACTGGAAAGGCAAGGATTGGAAAGGGGAGGGACCTCAGTGGAGTATATAATGCCATGGAGTCCACCCTCCAAAGCAGCCTTTTTCTCCCAGGGAACTAATATCTAGAGTTCAGTTATAAATCTGGGAAATCTCCAGGCAGCACCAGGAGGCTGGAAACCCTACCTGGCACATAAAACACAGTAAGGTGGGTGCCAGGCCCAGGGCTGGCTCGCCCGCTAGGTGAACTAGGCCTTCACCTAGAGCGCGAGCCGGCTGTTAGGGCGCGGGAGGAGAGGCAGGGGCGCTCTGCTGGCTGCAGGAGGAGGATGCATGGCGGTGTGGGCAGGGCGCGGCGCTGTAGCTGGCCGGCGGCTGCCCCTGCCTCCGCCTCCACCCCCTCGCTAGCTCCTCCGCCTCACTTCAGCAGGCGCTGTGGTCGTCGGGGACTCCTGTCGGTCGAAGGCGGGCGGTGCGGGGTCTAGTCAGCGACCTCAGCGACCGGCAGAGAGGGGGAGGGGAGACATCTCCCTATGGGGGGCAGCGGCAGGGGGGGTTATTTCAGGCCCGTCAAGGAGGCCCGCGGGCGAGAAGGGTCCTTCTCCCCCCACCCGTGGGGCAGGCGGGCAGGCAGGAGGGCGGCAGAAGGGCCGCACCGACTGTCCCCGGCCATCACCTGTGCGAGCGGCGCCTGCTTCTGGCGGGAGGACGAGCTGGGGGGTCGCTAGCCCTGCCCCCCACCCCCCTTCTTCGGCGCCTGTCCGGCCACTCCTGCCTCCACCCACCGGGAGGTTGGCACCTGCACTCACCTAGAGCACAGGACAACCTCGGGCCGGCCCTGGCCAGGCCAACTTCAAGGGGGAGGGCATTCTACACGGGCATTCCAGGGTTTACACTAGGAACCCCGCCCTGCTCAGCAGGCACTTGTTCCCTTTTCCCTGTAAACAACTGGCTGTCCAAAATGAGACACACAACCTAGAATCTTTCCTAGCCGAGATAATATGTCTCCCAAAGAGCACGGAGGTCAGGTTTGGAAAATCGCCTGACTCTCCCTGGTCCGAAAGACGCCAGATTGGCTGCTACCAGAGCTAGGGCCTTCTCGGTGGCGGCTCCAAACTGGTGGAATGAGCTCCCAGAAGACATCAGGGCCCTGCGGGACCTTTTACAGTTTCACAGGGCCTGTAAAACAGAGCTCTTCCACCAGGGCTTCGATGAGGAGCTGCCACTAAGGAATGAGCTATTAAAAACTGAACTGCTACGGCCCTTATGCTATTGGCCCTAAGAACAACTATGAATACTCGTTTAGCTATATTGGACCACCATACAACAATTGCCATCTGCACTTAATTGCACTTTGTATGTATATTGTTGTTACGTGAATTTTACAGTATTGCTCTTCTGTATTTGTGTTTTATTGTATTTTAACCTGCTGGATGCCGCCTTGAGGAAAAATAATAAATAAATAAATATAAATAAATAAATAAATAGAAGGTGTATAGAAATATTGATTTCTAAAAGCCCCTGCCTTCCCCTGGAATGTCTTGCTGATACCCTGCTGTGTTGTATTTCCTGTTGAAGCTAAATGGTGGGCCCCATGGCCTCGTTGCCATGCCATAAACCCACATTCTTCACACTTCCATGCTGGGAGAGACCAGATGGCCTCTGCCAAACAAGCAAAGAGTCACAAACACAATGAGGCTTGGGGTTTGGGGGCCATGTGACTGCTGGCGTGGTTTCCAAACTTCCAACCTATCCCCTCAAGCTACCCATGACAACTAGGATTTGGACACTCCTTTGTCTGCTCCAATTGGCTCCTGGCCAGGGCTAATTTGTGACTAGATTGGGGCTTTTAATTGTCCGGTCCCTTGGAAGAGAGTTCTGTTCTGTTCCTGCTATCTCTGCTGCTCTGTGTTCTGTTCACCTGAAATGCTGCCCTGCCATGTGGTTGGTTGGAGAACAAAGGATCCCCTGGTGCCTTAGAGCACATGGAGGGGATGTTCCTCCTCAAAACCCCTTGGGGATACCTGGACTATAACAATGGACAATCTTGGACTATGGATTCCTGAAGTTGGTAAATATGCTTCCTTACTGTGTAGTCAAGGTGAACTGCCTCAGGTTTCTTGTTTTGAAATCCTTCTGGTCTATGCTAAGTTCTGTACTGAATAAACTTATTCTGGTTTCTAACTTGTCTGTATTGTTGTAACTGGATTCTAAGGCTAAATCTTGCAGTCGAAGCGCTGACCACATATAAGCTACCTTTGTAAGAATTAAGCGTGCATCTCTAGATAGAGGTGCAAGTGTGTAAAACCCAGATGCCAACTCAGAGATCAGAATCTCTGCTCTGAGCTGGAGGGGATAATAGAATACTGAGAGATTCTGGTTTACTGTATTGAAGAGTGTAGGCTTCCCCTCTCATTTCTGGACAGGCGTGAGGGGCAGGAACCTATACAGAAGACCAGCCCCCTACTAGTATCTAATGATGTACTGTTCTGCACTGTCTCAGCCTAGCCCACTCGCTGTTGAGAGGGGCCTCCAGGTAATCCATAGACTGTACTTATCTCCTGGGGCACCGTCTTCCACAAAAGCACCCGCCTACCTGCCAGCAGTGATGATGTTTTTCATCCTAGCAAGGAAATCACCAGGGCCACATGGCATGCTGATGATGAGTCCTCTTGTCTAAACATTAAATTTGGGTTGTCAGATCCAGGCTGAGAAACTCCTGGAGATTTAGGGATGGAGCCTGGGGTGGACAGGGACCTCAGTGGGATACAATGCCCTAGAGTCCACCCTCCAAAGCATCCTTTTTCTCCAAGGGAACTGATCATTGTAGCCTGGAGAACAGCTGTAATTCCGGTGGATCCCCAGGTCCCACCTGAAGACTGGCATCCCTAATTAAAGAATGGCTTTCCTTTTATTAACTCAGTAACAAGGTACGGTTTAAGTACAAGCCTATGCAGACTTTCTCCAGTCAATGTAAGTGCCGTCAAGTCGCAGACGACTAATGGCAGCCCCCAGCAAGGGGATTTCAAGGCAAGCGAGAAGTAGAGTCGGTTTGCCATGGCCTTCCCCTGCAGAGTCTTCCTTGGGGTCTCCGAGATCTGACTAGGTTGGGCTATACCATGCTGCCTCGCCTCCTACTCCTGTCTAAGCCCACTGAAATCAAATGGAAATCAGGGAAGGGGGAAGAACCAACGTGAGATGGATTGAGTCAGTCAAGGAAGCCACAAAGTTTGCAAGACCTGAGCAGGGCTGTTAAGGAGAGGACCTTTTGGAGGTCATTCATTCACAGGGTCGCCATAAATTGGAAGTGACTTGATGGCACTTCACACACACAAAACTCAGCATCGGATTGCACTGTTAGCCATAAATTGGAATGGCCAAACTGCGGCTCGGGAGCCACATGCGGCTCTTTCATGCATATTGTGCGGCTCCTGGCAGGGCGGCTGGGAAAGAGAAGGGGAGGCATGCTTTCCCTTCCTCCCCCCTACCTCCCCCATCTATTTGCTTTCTTTGTGTCTCTCTGTCCGATTTCCCACAAGTGCTGCTCCGCGCTTGCTCTTCCCTTTTGCCCTGATGGTACGTGTCAATTTCACACAAGCTGCTGCGAGGCTGCATTTTGCCCCACAGCTTCGCTCGATTTCCCCCGTGTCTACTTCTCAAAAAAACAGGATTGAGTAGAAGCAGGGAAAATCACACAAAGCTGCGGGGCAAAATGCGGCCTCGCAGCAGCTTGTGTGAAATTGACACGTACCATCAGGGCAAAAGGGAAGAGCGAGTGCGGAGCAGCACTTGTGGGAAATTGGTCTCTCTCTTTCTCTCCACCTCTTTCATTCTTTCCACCTCTCTCTCTCTCTCTCTCTCTCTCTCTCTCTCTCTCTCTCTCTCTCTCTCACTCTTAGACAAATATAATTAGCAAACAAATAACTATCACTGGAAAAAATAAATACAATAATCAATATATGTTTTTACCCCTTTTGTTTTTATTTTTGACAGTCTCAATTAATGTTAATAAAAAGCAAATTTGCATATTTTAAATAAAAATGTGTGATATTTGTTCATGACTTGTGGCTCTCAAACATCTGAGGTTTCTTCTATGTGGCTCTTACGTTAGGCAAGTTTGGCCACCCCTGGTCTAGGAGTAATCTTACTGGTAACGTTGTGATGGGGACGGAATTTACAGCTATAATTCCACAACTTTGTGTCTCCCACTTGCCTGTCCATCCCAAGATAACTGGAATCAGCACCTGGTAATCCCCTAAATGAAGAGTATCTATAACTGAGGCCACTGAAGGGAAAAGATTGAGGAGAATGTTTTTGCAAGCAAATCCTTATTAAGAGATTTTTCCGGAGGCCCACCCCCCCACTCCCCATACAAATTAATCTGGGCACTATTCAAAATACCTCCCCACCATCAACAAATTATCCAAATTACCTGGGATAAACGCGGGGACCTGGAGAATCGGAGGAGTCCCTGGAGGGAAACAAACACACAAGTTAGACCTTGCAGCGGTTTCCATCCAGGCTATCGGCCTAAACCCAACCAGGTTTGTGTTGCCGTGGCTACCAAGATGGATGTTGAAGAAAAGATATCCGACACACACAGGTTTGCTAACATTTTACATTTCTGGGGTGTGGGGTGTGATAATTCCAGTGGGGTAGCCATCTTAAGTCTATTACAGTACAACAAAACAGAAGACCAGGGGCACTTTAAAGTCTAACAACATTTTATTCCAGGATGTCTGTTTTATAGGCCGTGAGCTCTCTACTGAGCCAGAAAGCTACAAGGGATGCCATTGATACGGCTGCCATTTTGCCACGCATTAGGAAGGGTCAGAATCTTGCCAGCCGAAGTATAATCTACAGTCTTCAGTTGTGAGGCAGCGGGAAGCTTGAACAGGTAAATCTAGCAGAGGGACATGGGTGCTTCGGGTATCATTGTGGCAACTTACAAGCCGAGGCAGCTGTTGGCGTGTTCTCTCCACTGTGCTTCGGCCACACTGTTGGCAGCAGGAGTCAAAAGGAGCCAACAGGGTTTCACCTGGTCCAATAAAGTCGCTGCCCCTGGCCTGTCCCCTCAGACTCCCCCACCCGTTTTATCCTTTGGTTTCCTCCAAGCCACCAACTCTGACAGAGCAAATCTTGCCTATGGATTCATAACTGTATGGCCTATCCTCTAAGGCCGCTTTCACTCATCTGCCCCGGCTCCCTGCCACCTCTCTGTTTCTACTCCACTTCTCTATCACCAAAAAAACCACCCCTCATAGTTTGGCTAAGTGCTTTCATTTAGTCTTCCTGGTTAATGCATCTCACAGAACTAAAATTCCCTGAACACACTACTAAACCAGGTTTGACTAAGTGGTGTAGGTCTGGTTCTAAGGCCTGCAAGGGAAGGCACATCTGTGGGATGGATTTCAGCAATTCCTGTCCATCCTACCACAGATTCCCACTTGCACCACTATGCTCTTGGGGGGGGCGGCACGGAACCTACCTCAGGACCAGAATTTCAGGGCCTGAAACTGGCTGCAGCAGAAGGAAGAGGGGAAGTCTCTTCAATGAGCGCTGTGACATGTATATTCCTTCAGATCCAAACCCCAGGTGACTGCCACGTGATGACGGTGGTTGTGGCTGCCAATTAAGTGCAGCAGCAATGGGGTTTCCTCAGGACAGGACCACAGAGACTATGGGGAATGCCTAGAGCAGAGGTGTCAAACTCATTTGTTATGAGGGCCAGATCTGACATAAATGTCAGCTGCTAAGCTCCAAGTTGGTGTATTCTCACTGCAAGGCCTCATGGGCTGGGAGGGGGACGCAAAGGAAAACCCATATGGGCGGACTGGAGAGCCAGCAGGGCAGCCCTGGGCAGAGGCTCCCATGCTGCTTGACCGCTGCAGACAAGGTTGTTCCACCATGCTGAAGCCACAATTGGAGTGGCTCTGTCCACTTCCCCCCTGAGCAGTCTCCTGTTCCCTCCCTTGCACTAGTTGCTCACGGACCGCATAAGAGCCTTGGACGGGCCAGTTCCGGCCCCCAGGCCTTATGTTTGACACCCCTGGCCTAGAGTGTTGCTATGGCGGCTATTTTTCCCCTCCTGTTCCTCACTTTTTAAAGGTCTGGAGACTGGAGCCGTAGGCAGAGAATTCCCCACTGGGCTTGGCCAATTGAGAAACCTATTATGTGGAAGTGGGGCGGGGCACTTCCCATTAGCCTCCAAGCTGGGCCAAAAAACCAGGGTGGAAGCAGTCCTAGTTGGCAAAGGGAAAGATTCTGTTCACACAGGGAGAGACTTATGCCAGAGCATTTTTCCTGAAGACTTCTTCCTTTGCTCCTGGCAGTCCCTTCCTGTCTGGAGACCCAAAACAGAAGACACACCCCACCAGACAAGCTTAGAGACAGACAGATTTCCATAGGCTACATCGAAGTGTCAGGAGACAGGAAGAGGAGGTGAAAAATTGGGGGGAGCCTTTCACATCGAGAGGGTCATGTCTGATGCCACACGGCAGCAGCCAGGTGTGCAGGGCTGGTGAGGTGAGGGAAGGCAGGTGGGACGGGACACAACGACCTTTCACCTCTCGGTCACTGGTTCGCATGTAGCCCAGGCCGGTAGCGCCCAAACATTGTTACCATCCGACGGCTGTTGGAGAGCTTACGGGCGATTACGGGCTGCTGGTCTCGGTCTTGGTCCTAGTGGACAAAAACCACCATCACAATCAGCAGGGGAAGCAGGGGATGTCCTGGCAAGGGGGGACTGATGACAGGGGGAGGACATGGTGAGAAGGAGAAAGTAGGCAGGGATACCCTTGGTCCCTCGCATGCGGACAGAGTAAGAAATTCAATGACCAGGTGTTGCTTCTCCAGTGCCTCCGCTCCCCACCAAGGTCCATTGATTTTCATCGACTTGCTTCTCCAGTTAGTTGGAGTCCAGCCAGCTGGGCAAAAATCTGGATGTTAAAGTTTCACGAGAAATTCTCCTAGGTAGGTTTGAAAGACGGGTAGAAAACTTGGCTGAGACCTCTTGTGAAAAAGGCACTTTCAAACACCCTGAATGATGCACTTTCAATCCACTTTGGATGTACTTTAGAGATGGTTTGCAAGGGGATTTTGCCATTTCACACAGTAAAATTCAGTTGTAAAAGTGCTTTGGAAGGGAATTGGAAATGTACTGTTCAGCAAGTGTGAAAGCACCTTTTTTTAAGAAATGGAAAACTTTGAAGGCTGCAGACAAGACTTAAAGGGGAATATTCAATTATGTTTAGCTGGGCTGAACTGACAAGCCTTTGAAGTTTGGGGAGCTGTTTCAGTGAATACCAAATCTTTTGGCACACACCAGCCTCCACTGGGTTTGCTCGGATGCCTTGAAACATGTTCCCCAAAACATCTTTAAGCTAGACCTGATTCTCCATTTGGGTGACTGAATAAACCCAAAACATTCTTACCTATCTATTGCATTTTTGTCCTGCCCTTCCTCGAAAGAGCTCAGAGCAGTGTATATGATTCCCTCTCCCTCCAACTTAACTCACAACAACCCTACGAGGTAGGTTGAAAGATAGCAACAAGCCTTGGTCACCCAGTGACCTTCCCGACAGAGTGTGGATTTGAACCATGGTCTTCTTGATCCTAGACTGTCACTCTAACCACTGTGCTACAGCATATCTCCAATGTAGCAGATATTATTTGTATTCATTTTAAATGTATACTCTATTTTTCTCCCCAGTAGGGACCCAAAATGGCTTATCACATTGCTTTCCCCTTTTCTACTTCGTCCTCTCAGTAACCATCCTGTGAGGCAGGTTAGGCTGGAAGAACATGACAGTCCCCAGGTCCAGGATTCGAACCCAGTCCTGTTGGCAGCAGAGTCTAGGACTCGCATTTGTGGGTTTAAATTAAGGGTGGGAAGGTACCGACTGGATCTTAGAAAAAACTTTTTTACAGTAAGGGTTGTTCAGCGGTGAAATCAGCTGCCTGGGGAGGTGGTGAGCTCCCCCTCACTGGCAGCCTTTAAGCAGAGGCTGAACAAACACTTGTCAGGGGTGCTCTGGGCCGATCCTGCACTGAGGAGGGGGTTGGATTAGACGGCCTGCATGGCCCCTTCCACCTCTATGATTCTAGGTCTTAGCCTGACACTTTAAACCACTGTGTCACCCAGCCGGTAGGTATATGACCATCAGAAGCTCAGGTGAGGGCTTTGCTTGAGATAAGGCTCTCTGTAGTCCCACTTGGGAGCCAGTTTTTTTAATGGCAGAATTCTGGCCAAGGAAAGGAGAAAACATAGAAGCCACTTCACAGGTGTCTGTCATTCTGCCCCGCTCCATCCTGAGGGGATGAGGCCCCTACTGCATTTGTGGGGCACGGTCAGTCGACCGCAATCTGCAAAACAGCGGAGAGAGGGCGGAGGCTGCCCAGTCGGAGGGATCCGGTGGGGCAAGGCAGATTTAGCCAATAGGTGTGCAACCTTGTACTGTCTCCCCTGTAAAGCATATGACTGCAATTCACGTCTACGTTGAAAGTGAAGTGCTACGCTTGGGACATTCCTGTTGTGGGGTGGTGGGTTCCCTGGTTTTGTGGGCTTCTGCCTGCTGCCAGCCAACTGGCCGGCAGGAGGAAATTCCCACCCCCAGCAGCAACATCAGGCAACATGCCTATGTCACTCAGAAGTGACATGGACATGCCAGGGGGCAACACTCTGGTTTTTGGGCAAAACTCTATGGTCTAAGGGCAATTTTACCATAGAGTTTTGCCCCCAAACCAGAGTGTCGCCGCCAATGTGCCTACATCACTTCCAGGTGACATGGGAACGGTGCGCAATGTTACTTCCAGTGACGTTGGCACGTCAGGGGCGATGTTTCCGGCTCTCAAAGCATTCCTCTCATCCCACCACCAGCGTCTCAAAGGAACCTGACCACCCTAGGGGCAAAACCTGCCTCCTATCCCTGTTGCCACTAAGGGGAAGACCCTGCAGGATCCTTGGCTGTGTCTGAGCAAAGACTCCTCTGCAGAGGCTCCTGTCCACACCAGCATATCTAGAGCCAAATCTCATGAGACATGAGAGATCTGCAGTTCGATCCCTTGACTCTTCTTTTTGGTTTCAACTTTAAAACAGACGCGGGAGCTCTGAATAGGCAAACTTCCTGATCTTCTCTGTTAGAAAAGCCCCCACGAGGCTAAGAGAGGGAAAGAGATTGTTTCTTCACCCCAGTGCAGGCTGTTGTTTTGGAATCCCTTTCTTTATCTCAGTGGCGAAAAAGCCGGGCAAAAAATAACTGTTTGGATGAGCAACCCGCTACTCTTTTCTAAAGGCCTGAGGTCAGGAGTTGGTGGAGGAATGATTCAGTTGCAGGGGTCTCCCCACAGGCAAGAGCTGATGCCATTCCAGCGTTTCCATCCTCTGCCCCAAATTGAAACCTGAATTTCCCAACTGGAAGAAAGACTAAATCAATCAACACTACGGCTGCCCTTAAGAGACAACTTTACATC